TTGTGTGCGTTTTTCTGTGTTTGTGTACGGGTAGAGGCCTTGCGATGAGCTGATCACCCGCCCAAGGAGTCCTACCGAATGTGTAAGATCTAGAAAAACCGAAGTGAACGGAGAAGTTCGTGGCGGTAAGCCTAGGCCCACTGGGGCTCTAGTACCAATGAAAAAAAAAAAAGATGTTTTCGAACTCATATTCTCGACACATTTATAACGCTCCCATGCGTGCTAGATGTCAAACCCATCTCATCCCCCATTTAATTGCGCTGTTAATATCTGGTGATTACAGAGTTCCTCGTCATGCATTTTTTCAATTATCTTTCTTACGCTTGTACGCCTATGCCCTATAGTGGAGGATAAAACTAAGATCCAATCACCTGTAATTTCTTCTCTCCAAGTCCAAATATTCTTCTCATAAATTTATTCCCATTGCTCTATGTTCGTCTCTCAGAATGACAGAGCAGTTTTAAACCTGTGCAAAACAACAGGTCTTCCTGAAAAAAAAATGTCATGTATGTATATCTTCTATTCTTAGCCGATTTTCCTTCCTGAAAGGAAAATTGTGTGCTTATGAGATAAAAAAATTCTTGTGTATTTGCATTGTTTGTCTAAAAGAGTTTTAAACGCACATCATAACTTGAGTACGCAACCTTGCGGAGGAGAAGTAACATCTGTTCAAGGAGACCTGCGGAATGGGGATTCTACCTCAAATCTTATGTTGCCACTTGAATCCAAATAACTTACAACGATGATGCAACTGTCTGAGGCACTATCTGATGATGATGGGCCCCCAAAGGTATTCTAATGTTCCTCCACTTCTGCTTTTAAACATTGTGACCAAATTTCACCCTATTAAAAGCGAAATACTGAGGTGAGGTCCAAAAAATCTCGGAGACCATACACTTAAGTAATAACGACTCGAAATAATAATAATAATAATTAAATTCGATCCAGTTCTTTATTGAAGAAAGCAGTCTTCTGGGATTTGGCACCGTGTATATGTGGTGTTAACCGACGTTTCGGAGGAACGTACCGCCTCCATCTTCAGGGTAGAAGGAAAAATATAAGAAATCCGCAAGCGAAGAGACCGCCGTGAAAGCCTCAAATCTTACACAGTTCTTTATTATTTACGTGCCGAAGCAACAGCTACAGGGGCAATTACAGACACAGCACAACAATAATAATAATAAGTAACATAGCTGTAGTCGTAAGCAACAGAAATCCGGATCGACAAGAATTTCATCTTATTACCATCCATGCAAGAACCAAACTTTCTATCCCATAAGCTAAACTGAATTTCATGGATGGATTTTAAATGTGGCATTAACAGTGCGAAGTTTGCCTGAGCAGAAGTCAGTGCAATGAGAGAGCCCTCTGTGGCACGGTTTGTTGATGCTTATCACGAAAAATCGGCGAAGAGTGTGCTCCAACTTGGGGAGGGAGGCTAGGAGGAAGTAGCAACCCCTTACTTGTTTAGGAATGTCACAACGTGAATTACTGGTCACGGCTTCAGTGAACTAGGACACGAGCTTTGGAACTATCAAGAATCTCTTTAGATAAGGTCGACTGGTAATGTAGGAGCTATGTAAATTGTATTCTAAACGACGGGGTACGGCCTGGAGAGTTGAGGAATTGGAGTTCGATTCCCGTCAGAGAAAGAGATTTTTGTCTTCTTCACAACGTCCAGACCGACTCCTTGGTCCACTCAGCCTCGGTTTCAATGGCTACCGGGGGCTCTGTCCACAAGGGTAAAGGGGCAGCTGGGTAAAGTTGAAAACTCACTCCCATCTATTGCTGAAGTTAAGAATGGAGGAGCTATACCTCCACTCAGCGATATGTCTTCATGGTGTGGTGTTCAATTAAGCAAGCACAGCGAAAACTTTATCTTTACAGCCAAATTTTATTAGAAAAATTAATTCTAGGAGGAGGAGATAGGCGGAACCTGTGGCATGCATGGGGGTTAAGATGTCCAAATATAACTTTGATTGAAATCCCATTAAATGAGAGAATTTTTGGATGCCTGGAAGAACACGGGAGAGTAATATTAAAAAGAATCTTACATAAAATGAAAGTTAAACCTTGGGCTGGATTGAACTGGCTCAGATTAGAGATAAATGTCTGACGCTTGTGAAACAATAATGAACCTTCAGGTTCCATAAAAATTGGGGACATTTTCCCAGCTCAGCCAGTAACAGCATCTTAGCACTCTATTACCCGATAGACAGTTATCTAGTGGGTAACTATTATTAAACATTTACGTAGTAGAACGTTACAGTGGATCTTGCATTTATTAGAATTCGCGTTCCATATCAGAAGTCTGTACTGGAAAAGTTTGGATAGGATCTATCGTTTCCCATTATTTATTATTCCATAAGGTTTCTCGGTAAGATTCAAATTTTCATTTTTTATCTGGACGAAAGTTTAAAGTAAACGCACTAGATTGGGGGTCCGTTTTTTTAAGATACGTTCCTGGCTAGAGATGCCGAGGTCCCGGGTTCGATTCCCGGCGCCACCAGATTTTCTGAGAAGTAATGGGTCAGGAACGGTGTCCACTCAGCCTCGTGAGGATAATCGAGGAGTTATTTCGAGGAAATAGCGGCTCCGGTCTAGAAAACCGTAATTAACGGCCGTGGGGATTCGTTGCGCTGACCACGGAACACCCTCTATCCGCTAAAGTTGGCACTAACTTCGTCGACAAGTGGCGGTCGCTCGGTCGGTGTAATTCACTTGCGGACTCAAGCCACGGAGTTTGTTTTGTTTATTTTTGGAGGTACGTGTTTCAATTCCCGACAAAAACGGGCTATCCTCACTATGGTTATTCGTGATTCTCTTCGGTATATGCAAGTTGACACCAGGGTAGCACCACAATCAGTTTTTTTTCATTAATAGTTATTTTTGTGCCTACTGCTCGAATTTACGTACTAGTTTACACTTGTACAATCACTCAAAAACTAAAAGCAGATTATCATGAGATGCCCTTCCGTCCCGAATGGCCCTTTCACTGATACTTCTCTGAACTTATTAGCACATTACAGTCAACCCAAAATTCTGTTATGTATTATGTCTTTACAGAACAGAATGGCTCGCAGGTCTTCGAGGGTCGGCAGCATGGGGGCCGCGAGGCATGGGGACGGGAAGAAGAGGACCCACGCTTTACAAGTACACCTCCAGATGGGCAGTTTCCCATGCATAATGGAGGCCATGTCAAATTCGAAGTCCCGAAAGTGCCCGTTATATTTGTTCTGGGTAAGATAAGTTTTCTTCCAAGAACTACAGTTGCAGAACACATGGAATAAATGTTTAAAAAATTATTGACGTTCCCTAAGGAAATCGAAGATTTTAATGTCACATGAGGATATACTGTCACGATTTTGAGTGATTATAGACTGTGTTTGGATTGATAATTGGATTTACTCTATGGTAACTACAAGAAACTGTAACACTCTCACTGAATTACACTAGTTTGTGGGCTCTAGTGATTTGTAAAGTGTGGAGATAAGCGATGGCTCTATAATTAATTGTGATTACGAGTTATGTGCTGAAGTTGTCAATAAATTCAATCTCAAATCCAAAACCCCGCCGAGATTTACTCATAAGCGTGACAATATCTTTAAGTACACAAATGACATTGGTAGTTACGTTTATCTACTAGTTACAAATTTTAAGTAGTATGTCGTCTGGGAGACCGTCTCTGTGGTCTAGTGGTCAGAGCTCCTGGCTATAGATCCAGAGGTCCCGGGTTCGATTTCTGGCGCTACCAGGTTTCCCGAGAATTGCTGGTTCTGGAACGGTGTCCACTCAGCCTCGTGAAGATAACTGAGGAGCTATTTTAAGGAAACAGCGGCTCCGGTCTAGAAAATCGAGATTAACGGCCGTGGGGATTCATTGCGCTGACCACGTTATGTTTTATTTCAGATTATCTCCCCATAATGAATATTTCAAACTGGTTTCGGCATTATCTGAAAGAGCAGAAATAGCATTTACCTTCAGGGCAAAATGAGCAGGATGAAAAAGGCTTTGATCTATATGGCAGAATTTCTTCTTAAAACACACAGGAGTTCCTCTCCCTTCCAGTGGATAATACGATAATTAGGCGATTTTGATAATAAATACACGATTTGGTTCTGATTTATACAACTTATAGCCGAATGTTTGAGACGTGAAACTGTCATTTTTGTTATAATAGAAATTCAGTACTCAGGAGCGAACGAAATTTTGATAATTCTCTTCAGAATTCGAGTCCCGTTTCTCAGGGAGATTCTCAAATACGCAACTTTCAGGGGTCCAAAATTAAACGTATACCGAGAGTCGCTACATATACGTGTACACACACGACTTGATGTTCAGTCGTAACAAACAAACAACCTCAGTGGTTTTAGTCCGCAAGCGAACTATACCGACCGAGCGACCGCCGCTTGTCGGCGAAGTTAGTGCCAAATTTAGCGGATAGAGTGTGTCGCGTGGTCAGCGCAACGAATCCCCACGGCCGTTAATTTCGGTTTTCTAGACCGGAGCCGCTATTTCCTTGAAATAGCTCTTCAATTATACTCACGAGGCCGAGTGAACCCCGTTCCAAACACACTACTTCTGAGAAAGAGCGCTGGTAACGCCGGAAATCGAACCCAGACCTCTGGATCTGTAGCCAGGAACTCTGACCACTAGACCACAGACGCGGTCTAACACTAATTTTATCCTTTCTGTGCGCTGCTCATGTTCAGACTATGTAACGTCGAATGGTAGAGGATGAATGAAGAATTATGAAATGGAAAGAGCAGTACGTATTTGGAAGGAAGTGAGCTTGGTCTCTACTATCTCGGCACTTGACTGCAGAAATGAGGAAAACCAGAAAACGCTGTCAGAGCAGCCAGTTTCACAGCGAATATTCGATCCAAGTACATCCCCAGTAAAAGTGTGGAGCCTAATCGCCACGCCAAAGAGCTCGATGTGCCGCTATGTTATGACGTCTACTGTCTCCTGTGATGTGACGCCTTGCAGATTGGTAGATCGTTACCAAAGTTGTCCTTCTATACTAAAGTAGGAGACAGCAAAGTGCTCTCAATAATTGATAAAGATCTACAAGACTAAGACCCCACAAGATAATAACATTCATGTATTTTGTTACAATCCTCCCTCCTACGTCTGTTTCTCCTCATTAGTATGTAAAAGTAAAGCTAGCCCTGTAACAGGCCGTGGAGGCCCATAGGGTTGTGCGACGTCGAGGCTCCCACATTTTCTAGACAGTCGGCTCACAGATGGCGGTGATGTCAGCCTTACGCGCCGGCCGCCCTATTCCCCCAGGAATATTTCTGGTACTCATTTCTGTTAGAGGCTGAGTCGACCCCAGGGCCATAGTGCGACTGGAAGGATTAGGTAAATTGAAAATAAAAATCCAACTCATCGGGATTCGATCCTGCGATCTTCCGGCTTGTAGCATAGTGCCTCAATCAACTACGTTACCGCGTTCCCCATTAGTATGATCCCCTGGAATTTACAGCATATATTTTGTACGCATTTCTTACTTCTTCATGGTCGTAACATGAGCCGACCAACTGACCATTCTGCAATATATCGTCTTAAAATATTAGCGAAGTTATAAANGAAGAGGAATGCATATAGGATATTGGTGGGAAAGCCAGAAGGCAAGAGACCACTGGGAAGACCAAAATGTAGGTGGGTGGACAATATTAAAATGGATCTCAGAGAGATAGGATGTGATGGTATGGATTGGATTGATCTGGTTCAGGATAGGGACTAGTGAAGGGTTCTTGTGAACACGATAATGAACCTTCGGGTTCCATAAAATGCTGGGAAGTCCTTGAGTAGCTGCACAACTGGCGGCTTCTCAAGAAGTGCTCAGCGCCGTGAGTGAGTGATGTTAGCACATTTCTGCTGGGTAAAAGTAGGAAAGGCAAAGCTGTCCCTGCCGTTAATGTATATATTAAATTATGGTAAGATTTATTTTCGTGGCATCTGAGGTTACAATAACGATGGAAATAAAAATTTCTATCTTATGGGATGTGATGTCATGTAGTTTCATAGAGAGGTACCTCGTTTCGGAAGAATCTGCTTTATCCGTCTTCAGGGTGGACCAACCTTCAAGGTGTCACATCACAGAACAGTAAAATTTCAAGTTCAATCTTCGGTTATTTCGATGTATATAACCATTTAAAAATGTCTTTCGACAAATTTAACTAAATAACTGCAAGACTACCGAGAGTAGTTGACTGGACAGAAGATATCAAAATTTATTCAAGTGTTTTTATCGCACGTGTTTTTGTTTCTTTGTTTTTGAACTCATTGATACTGCCTTTCGAGTGAAAGTGTTTCAAATCGCCAGCAATATTAGGCTATCCGTCTTACAGCGGTGACAAAGAAGTTGCTTATATGCACGGCGAACTAGTTCATCTCAGCAGACGAGGGGTGACAGGAACAAATTTATGTATTTTACTTGTCCATCAATCTCCTTCCTCTACTTTTTCAGCTCTATTAGCACCCATTTCCAGATATTTTCCGATTCAGAATTAATGCTGAAATTATTAATATTTTACCCATCTGACAGAATTCCTTTGACGAAGAATTGACCCATCGTAGGGCACGAGAGAACGTAACACGCAGAAAAAACACACATACGTCTAAGCACCAAGCAGGATTCGAACCCTCTGTCTCATTGTTCGAGAGATCCATATCTTGCCTGCCTTATTATATCGCTGATCGACATAGTTTGTATCAATTTATTAAATTCACACAAATTAAAACGTTCGTTGCCTGAGAGTAAATTAAAAATTATTGATATTTCAGGCATCACTATTGTCATGTGTGTGGACTGCCTTATTGTAGTATGGGAGTACTGATAACAAATCAAAATCAACTACATCTATTTAAGAAGATTTCTAACTTCTTGCTTGTAACGCCGTGTAGTCTGATAGAAATATCGTAGGGACATATTAACTCCATCTTTAGGGTCAAAGAGTGAGCAACCAGCAAACAGCTGCTATATATCCGAGAGACTGTGGGCACAGATATCGGTCATTGGTCTCCGTAAGCCAGTGTTGTGACACGACACAAATACAGATATAGACCGTGTTCTTAAACACTCTTCACCGTTCATTATTTAAACTCAATCCACTATTTCACGCTGCGTAATCTATCGGGCCGGTCACGGTAGCCCAGTNCGGCTCACAGATGGCGGTGATGTCAGCCTTACGCGCCGGCCGCCCTATTCCCCCAGGAAGATTTCTGGTACTCATTTCTGTTAGAGGCTGAGTCGACCCCAGGGCCATAGTGCGACTGGAAGGATTAGGTAAATTGAAAATAAAAATCCAACTCATCGGGATTCGATCCTGCGATCTTCCGGCTTGTAGCATAGTGCCTCAATCAACTACGTTACCGCGTTCCCCATTAGTATGATCCCCTGGAATTTACAGCATATATTTTGTACGCATTTCTTACTTCTTCATGGTCGTAACATGAGCCGACCAACTGACCATTCTGCAATATATCGTCTTAAAATATTAGCGAAGTNGTTCATGGAGGTAGGCCTGGGCCCACTGGGGCTGTAGTGCCAAGGCACAAAAAAATCTATCGGACAATAGACCGTCAGTCATCATCACTCAATAACGCCTCGGAAGTCAACCAATTAAAGATTCTTATATCAATGGTATGGAAGAGTATCCGTATACTACATTTGACTGTCCATCTACA